TCAGTTTTGTTCCAGGATGCGACCCACACCAGTCGACGAACACCCAGGTACCCATTATTACTGATGGGTGAACAGGGACAACCGGTGTGTAAGGAAACACGCCCAGTGTTTCCACCCTGGCCGGGAATTGAACCCGGACCCTCAGCGTCTGAAGCGAGAGCTTTTGCCACCAATCTACGGGGCACAATCTTTTCTTGGTCCAGGTATTGAAGGAGAAGAAGATACACTTCATTCTGTCTCACTGTCACCACTGACAACTTCGACACAGTTGTTGCGGCTAGTAGAGAGTGTTCCCTAAGTGGACCAGGAATTTGCATCTTGGCAGCAGAGAGGTCAGGTTTCTCCTGACTGTTAGACATTTTTTTTTTTTGTGGCAACCTCCCATGTAGAAATGACCAGCTTTAGGACCTCCATATATCGACAGGCTTGCCTGTGGTGGTTGCTGTTATAGATAGTGGGATGCCTCTTATACCTTCACCAAGCCTTGTACTTAGCAGTAGCTACCTCCCCACAACGAAAGCCGAGCCAAGGCTGATCTGAAGACTTAGTTACGTACTGCCGGTGAGGGATGTGTTTGTGTTGGAGAGTAAAGGTATGCTCAGTGAAGGCATTTACTTAGTTGTCAACATCCCCTTAGAGAAGAGCATTCCGATCAGAGGTGGCGACCTCCTAGCAAAGGACTGGCCAGTTTCCTCTTTCTCACAGCCAGGTTGTGCATGATGATCACGCACCAAATGGTCCAAGTCTGACCGAAACGTTGTCGTGAACTCCTCTTTCCTATGTACGGATTATTTGTGTAATGTACCTCTTGGTATCTTCAATGCCGTAAAAAAATCCTTGTGGCCAGATAATCCAACGTAGCTTAAAGGTACACACATAGATCACTCACTACTGGGTCGAGGGATGAGCCAGAGATGTGACTAGACAACTCAATACATTTTTTCAAGTGAAACACCGGAAGAACTTCACCAGAATCCCCCTGTACTCGATATTTCAGTTCACCCACTATTTTTTTTCAAGAAGGGAGACCATAATTTCCACCATGAAGGCGAGTGGATCTGCTTACTGCTACATACAGAAAAAAAACTAGGGCTGATCCATAGCCTTAAGACCTTGATTTACAGGTTATTGTGATGATCAGTGGGGCAGGTGTGTACACTCTGAACACGCACACACACGACTCTGTGAATGACTGGTGTGTGAATCCTTCAAGAGTACCTGGGTAACCTTTTAATGGAATTGTGGATTAAGTTAGGTGAGGTAATGTGAGTTTCCTACCCCAGCCTCGCTCAGTGATGCAGAAGGTGAGAGGGAGAGACAGAGACAGAAACAGAGAGAAATAGAGAAATATATATATATATATATATATATATATATATATATATATATATATATATATATATATATATATATATATATATATATATATATATATATATATATATATATATATAGAGAGAGAGAGAGAGAGAGAGATGGTAGAAAACACCGTCAGGATGGAGAATAGAGGAGAATGCAGTATACTGCGATCCTGTATTGACTACGTCTCGCCCACACTGTTGGCGAGTGACATGATAAAGCTCATTGTGTGAGCGAAACCTCGCTAATAAAGAATGGCATTGTACTGCACGTGTGTCTTGTTTGTCCACTCCATTACTTCGTTAACGCACCATTCACCCATTACTTTAACGCACCATTCACCCATTACTTTAACGCACCATTCACCCATTACTTTAACGCACCATTCACCCATTACTTTAACGCACCATTCACCCATTACTTTAACGCACCATTCACCCATTACTTTAACGCACCATTCACCCATTCACTTTAACGCACCATTCACCCATTACTTTAACGCACCATTCACCCTTTAACGCACCATTCACCCATTACTTTCTTTAACGCACCATTCACCCATTTCTTTAACCCACCATTCACCCATTACTTTAACGCCCCATTCACCCATTACTTTCTCTAACCCACCATTCACCCATTAAGTTCTTTAACGCACCATTCACCCATTTCTCTATCAGCTGCTCCCGTTTCTTCCCATTTCCGCAAGACGTATGGCACCTGCTGCTCCCATTCCCCAGATTATCACCCTCCTGGGTATTTTGGGAATGGGGTAATGGGTCTCCCATTGTGGAAAGTCTCCATCTTATGGTACACTATGAGTGATGGTGACCCTATGTATACTGGTGATGGTGACCCATGTTTACTGATGATGGTTACTCCGTGTATACTGGTGATGGTGACCCATGTAAACTGATGATGGTTACTCCGTGTATACTGGTGATGGTGACCCTATGTATACTGGTGATGGTGACCCTATGTATACTGGTGATGGTGACCCTATGTATACTGGTGATGGTGACCCATGTAAACTGATGATGGTTACTCCGTGTATACTGGTGATGGTGACCCCATGTATACTGATGATGGTGACCCATGTAAACTTATGATGGTTACTCCGTGTATACTGGTGATGGTGACCCATGTATACTGATGATGGTGATCCATGTATACTGGTGATGGTGACCCATGTATACTGATGATGGTTACTCCGTATATACTGGTGATGGTGACCCCATGTATACTGATGATGGTGACCCATGTATACTGGTGATGGTGACCCGTGTATACTGATGATGGTGACCAATGTATACTGGTGATGGTGACCCATGTATACTGATGATGGTGACCAATGTATACTGGTGATGGTGACCCATGTATACTGATGATGGTAACCAATGTATACTGTTGATGGTGACCCATGTATACCGATGATGGTAACCCCATTTATAATGGTGATAGAGACCCATGTATACTGGTGATGGTGACCTCATGTATGCTGGTGATAGTGGCCCCATTTATAATGGTGATAGTGACCCATGTGTACTGGGTTGTAGACCACCCTCATGCCTCACACTTGTACTTTTATACTGCTGCTGCTACTACTACTACTACTACTACTACTACTACTACTACTACTACTACTACTACTACTACTACTACTACTACTACTACTACTACTACTACAATTACTTCTACTACTACTATTACTGCTACTACTACTACCAATAATAATAATAATAATAAGAAAGAAGAGCCACCATAACATGCCATAAGGCCTGGCACCCACCATGATTCCCATGGCACTCTCAACACTGGTAAATCCTCCTTGCTCCCGTGCATTAATCTCTCACTGACACCAGAGTAATCTCTCTCTCTCTCTCTCTCTCTCTCTCTCTCTCTCTCTCTCTCTCTCTCTCTCTCTTCTCTCTCTCTCTCTCTCTCAATCAACACATCATCAGGAGGATGTCCGAGCCAATACGATCCCAGAGGATGCATTCACTGGATTGTGTTGGCTCGGATATCCTCCATTTTTCTGCAACCATTCTTCTCTGTATTGGACTGAGGAAACCACTGTGTGGGCGAAACGTTTCCAAAATTAAGATATCCAACTGTCCCACATATGTCTTAATTATCGCAAGGATATAAATTATTTAATAAAATTGGTTAAGTAAAACTTGTACAACCCAAATCTAAAAACTAAGCTTCCTCTGAGCAAAGGTCACTGTCGAGGGAAGTTTGAAGCCGACCTGAAGAAACATTCCTCAGTTACTATTGCTCAGGATTCAACAACTCCAAGTTGATTACGTTGGTAAGTCGTTGTATTTACATCTGCATAAATTAAGTTCCTATCTACGTCTGTATAACAGGTTCCTATCTACGTCTGTATAACAGGTTCCTATCTACGTCTGTATAACAGGTTCCTAAATACGTCTGTATAACCTAAGTTCCTAAATAGGTTCGTATAACCTAAGTTCCTAAATAGGTTCGTATAACCTAACTTCCTAAATAGGTTCGTATAACTTAAGTTCCTAAGGTCACAACTTAGCCTTAAGTTATACCAGCCATTATTAAGCACTGACGTCATTCACGAGAGACCTAAGTTAGGCCTAGTTAAACACATCGTCATCTCAGAAATATTGAAAAAAAATTGACACCGACATACGCCAGTAACGATGCCAGGCCTCCTTAGTGGCATACCCCGGTGTTGAAAGTTTGATGCCGATCGGAAGAGGCTTTCTCGAGTTATCGCACAGGGACCCAAAACTGGTAATGGCACATATATATTGTTAACCTGAGGGGGATTGGGGGGGGGTCCCTGTACGTGCCAATAGTTGCATTAGTTTTCACTTCCTTCCCCAGTTACCCCACACCAGCGTTGAAAGTTTGAAGCCGAGTGAATGAGGCATTCTCGAGTTATAAACAATTAGTTTAGATTAAAATAAAATGTCAACCACGTCAAGGTATTCCTTTGGGGATACTTAACAACAGTAACAGCAGCAGTAGCAGCAGCAGCAGCAACAGTAGTAGCAGCAGCAGCAACAGTAGCAGCAGCAGCAGCAACAGTAGCAGCAGCAACAGCAACAGTAGCAGCAGCAACAACAGTAGCAGCAGCAGCAACAGTAGTAGCAGCAGCAGCAACAGTAGCAGCAGCAGCAGCAACAGTAGCAGCAGCAACAACAGCAGAAGCAGAAGCAGCAGTAACAGCAACATCATTAGCAGCAACAGCAGGAACAACAGCATAAGCAGCAGCAGCAGCAGCATCAGCATCCCTGGCGGTGAAGGAGGGAGGGGAGAGGAAGAAGGGATAGGAGGGAGGGAAGGAGGGACGGTAGAGCGTACATCGATCCAGAGGTGTGTGTGCCTGTGTGTGTGGTGTGTGTATCTGTGTGCGTATGCGTGTGTGTATGTGTCTGTGTGTATGTATCTGTGTGTGGGTGTGTGTGTGTGTGTGTTTTGTCTAAGTGTACACTGGATAACAGCACTTTACTTACACTCACACTCTCCATGACTCCTTCAAGAACCCATAACAGATCAGGATGCTGCCAGCCTCTACAAGATGGGTTAGATCACACCACAATTCACACACGAAGATGCTGTCGTAGGAACCTGAGTTTCGCCCGGGGTTTCACACATTTTGACCCCTTTGCAAGTGGGGAATTTATCCCAAGATGTGCCTCTAAGATCTGGGGAGGAAAGAAAGGCAACAGAGGATAAGAATTACAAGGTGTGGGGGAGGGTGGACCTGCCTCTCATACCGTCTCGGCAGATTCTTACTCCCTGGATGCTATAGTAGCAGACGGCTGGGCTAGTTTCTGGGGTGGGGGTGGATGTTTCCAGGGCTAGAGGGATGAGTGGGCTGGGATTGAAGACTAGAGTGTTGATGTATGTGCTTCAGGGGTGTATTTATGAGGAGGTAGTGGCGAGGGGAGGTGTAGAGGGGCGTGGGAGAAGGGTTATGGAGGGAGGGAGGGTAGAAGATGCGCGGTGTAGGCAGGCAGGTTGCGTGCTGCGGGCCGCTCTGGAGAGCCATTGCAGACCCCGCGAGTCTGCGCCAGCAGCCACTACCTCGCGCCTTCCCCACCCCTCTGACCTGGTCTCACCTTGTCCTAGCTGACCTCTCACCTCCTGCAGGCGCGGCATGTGCAGGTGACCTGCCTTGGAGCGTGGGTAGGCCGGCAGGAGTGAGATTACTGGCGCCCTGGACACTAGCGGGCCGTCGACGCTCCGTTTCCAGTCGCTAGCGGGCACAGCATTTGCATAATATTTATTGTGTGGGGAGCTAGAGCACGACCCTCTTCTCCAATCCCTTCCCCAGGTGCAGTGAAGCAGTGTTAGTTCAGTGTTACTTCCCACGAGTGACGACCACAGGGGTGACCCTAGCCACACCTAGCCCTCTGGAATATATCAGTGTAAACCTTGGCTGGCTACCTGTGTTGTGCTGCAAGAGCTTGAGACCTTCCTCTTGGTGGGGCTAACACCCCCCCTCAACCTCATCTCACCTCCTTGGTGACTCCAAGAATTTCAGGATATTAAAAAGAATTAATAGAGCGCGTCTCCTGCACCGGTGAACCTCCCTAAGGTGAGTACAGTTCTCATGAGTCCCCCCTCACAGCCTCTTCCATCTTAGGCTGCTGCTCTCTCTAACCTCGTATGACAAGAACAGATGCTGGAACTAGTTCCATGGAGGTTCTCAAGGCTGCTGTCCAGGACCTGATATAAGAACACCTGCTGGAATTTGTTCCAAGGAGATTTCAGGGCTGCTGTCTAGAACCTGACATAAGAATACCAGTTAGAGCTTGGTCCATGGAAGTTCTCAGGGCTCCTGTCTAGAACCTGATATATGAACAGCTGTTGGAACTTGTTCTATAGAAGTTCCGTGACCCACTGTGCCCACCTGGGAAATCTTAAAGCCAGGGGAACTGGGGAAAGGGGCGAGGGACTCCCAGGGGTGGTGCGTGCGGGGCCAGCCAGACATGCGTACACCGTCAGCGCCGGGGTGATGGACCAGCCTTCCTGCACCCCGGGGTGATGGACCAGCCTTCCTGCACCCTGGGGTGATGGACCAGCCTTCCTGCACCTCTGGGTGATGGACTAGCCTTCCTACACCCCGGGGTGGTGGACCAGCCTTCGTGCACCCTCGGGTAATGGACCAGCATTTCTGCACCCCGGGGCGATGGACCAGCCTTCCTGCACCCTGGGGTGATGCACCAGATTTCCTACACCCCGGGGTGATGGACCAGCCTTCCTGCACCCCGGGGCGATGGACTAGCCTTCCTACAACCCGAGGTGATGGACCATTCTTCCTGCACCCTCGGGATGGACCAGCCTTCCTGCACCCCGGGGTGATGGACCAGCCTTCCTGCACCCTGGGGTGATGGATCAGCCTTCCTACACCCTGGGGTGATGGATCAGCCTTCCTACACACCGGAGTGATGGATCAGCCTTCCTACACACCGGGGTAATGGACCATCCATCCTACACCCCGGGTGACAGACCAGTCTTCCTACACCCCGGAGTGATGGACCAGCCTTTCTGTACCCTAGGATGGATGGACCAGCCTTCCTGCACCCCGGGGTTATGGATCAGCCTTCCTACACCAAGGGGCGATGGACCAGCCTTCCTACACACCGGGGTGATGGCCCAGCCTTCCAGCACCCTGGGGTGATGCATCAGCCTTCCTACACCACGGGGTGACAGGCCAGTCTTCCTACACCACGGGGTGATGGACTCGCCTTCCTGCACCCTGGGGTGATGGATAACCCTTCCTACACCCCGGGGTGAAGGACCAGCCTTCCTGCACCTTGGGGTGATGGACCAGCCTTCCTGCACCCTGGGGTGATGGACCACTCTTCCTGCACCCCGGGGTGATGGACCAGCCTTTCTGCATCCCGGGGTGATGGACCATCCTTCCTGCACCCCGGGGTGATGGACCATCCTTCCTGCACCCCGGGGTGATGAACCATCCTTCCTGCACCCCAGGGTGATGGACCAGCCTTCGTGTACCCAGGGGTGACGGACCAGCCTTCCTGCACACCGGGGTGATGGACTAGCCTTCCTACACCCCGGGGTGATGGACCAGTCTTCCAAAACCTCGGGGTGATGGACCAGCCTTCCTACACCCCAAAGTGATGGGCCAGCCTTCCTACACCCCAGAGTGATGGACCAGCCTTCCTACACCCTGGGATGATGGATCAGTCTTCCATTGCCCCGGGGTGATTGACCAGCCTTCCTGCACACCGGGGTGATGGATCAGTCTTCCTATACCCCGGGGTGATGGACCAGCCTTTCTACACCCCTGGGTGATGGACCAGCCCTCCTACACCCTGGAGTGATGGATCAGCCTTCCTACACCCCGGGGTGATGGACCAGCCTTCTTATACCCCGGGGTGATGGACCAACCTTCCTGCACCCCCGGGGGGAAGGACCTTCCTTCTTGCACCCCGGGTGATGGACCAGCCTTCCTGCACACCGGGGTGAGGATCAGTCTTCCTATAAACCCCCGGGGGGATGGACCAGCCTTTCTACACCCCTGGGTGATGGACCAGCCCTCCTGCACCCCTGAGTGATGGAATAGCCTTCCTTCACCCCGGGGTGATGGACAAGTCTTCCTGCGCTCCGGGGTGATGGACCAGCCTTCCTGCACCCCGGGGTGATGAACCAGCCTTCTTGCACCCTGGGCTAATGGACCATCCTTATTGCACTCAGGGGTGATGGACCGACCTTCGTGCACCCCGGGGTGATGGACCATACTCCCTGCACCCCAGGGTGAGGGAACAGCCTTCCTACACCCCGGGGTGATGGACCAGCCTTCCTACACCTCGGGGTGATGGATCAGCCTTCCTACACCCCGGGGTGATGGACCAGCCTTCCTGCACCCCGGGGTGATGGACCAGCCTTCCTACACCCCTGGGTGATGGACCAGCCGTCCTAAACCCCTGGGGTGATGGGTCAGTCTTCCTACACCCCGGGGTGATGGACCAGTCTTCTTATACCCCGGGGTGATGGACCAGTATTTCTGCACCCCGGCTGGACCAGCCTTCCTACACCACGAGTTGATGGACCAGCCTTCCTGCACCCCGAGGTGATGGACCAGCCTTCCTTCGCCCCGGGGTGATGGGCCATCCTTCCTGCATCCCGGGGTTATTTGCCAGTCTTCCTGCACCCCGGGGTGATGGGTCAGTCTTCCTGCACCCCGGGGTGATGGACCAGCCTTCCTGTACCCCGGGGTGATAGACCAGCCTTCCTGCACCCCTGAGTGATGGAATAGCCTTCCTTCACGCCGGGGTGGACAAGTCTTCCTGCGCTCCGGGGTGATGGACCAGCCTTCCTGCACCCCGGGGTGATGAACCAGCCTTCCTGCACCCTGGGCTAATGGACCAGCCTTATTGCACTCATGGGTGATGGACCGACCTTCGTGCACCCCGGGGTGATGGACCATACTCCCTGCACCCCAGGGTGAGGGAACAGCCTTCCTACACCCCGGGGTGATGGACCAGCCTTCCTACACCTCGGGGTGATGGATCAGCCTTCCTACACCCCGGGGTGATGAACCAGGCTTCCTGCACCCCGGGGGTGATGAACCAGCCTTCCTACACCCCTGAGTGATGGACCAGCCGTCCTAAACCCCTGGGGTGATGGGTCAGTCTTCCTACACCCCGGGGTGATGGACCAGCGTTCTTATACCCCGGTGTGATGGACCAGCCTTCCTGCACCCCGGGGTGATGGACCAGCCTTCCTACACCCCGAGGTGATGGACCAGCCTTCCTGCATCCCGGGGTGATGGACCCGCCTTCCTTCACCCCGGAGTGATGTACCATCCTTCCTGCATCCCGGGGTTATGGGCCAGTCTTCCTGCACCCCGGGGTGATAGACCAGCCTTCCTGCACCCCTGGGTGATGGACCAGCCGTCCTAAACCCCTGGGGTGATGGGTCAGTCTTCCTACACCCCGGGGTGATGGTCCAGTCTTCTTATACCCCGGGGTGATGGACCAGCCTTTCTGCACAGAGGTATGATAGACCATCCTTCCTGCACCCAGGGGTGATGGACCAGCTTTCCTTCACCCCGGGCTGGACCAGCCTTCCTACACCCCGAGTTGATGGACCAGCCTTCCTACACCCCGAGTTGATGGACCAGCCTTCCTGCACCCCGGGGTGATGGACCAGTCTTCCAAAACCTCGGGGTGATGGACCAGCCTTCCTACACCCCAAAGTGATGGGCCAGCCTTCCTACACCCCAGAGTGATGGACCAGCCTTCCTACACCCTGGGATGATGGATCAGTCTTCCATTGCCCCGGGGTGATTGACCAGCCTTCCTGCACACCGGGGTGATGGATCAGTCTTCCTATACCCCGGGGTGATGGACCAGCCTTTCTACACCCCTGGGTGATGGACCAGCCCTCCTACACCCTGGAGTGATGGATCAGCCTTCCTACACCCCGGGGTGATGGACCAGCCTTCTTATACCCCGGGGTGATGGACCAACCTTCCTGCACCCCGGGGTGAAGGACCTTCCTTCTTGCACCCCGGGGTGATGGACCAGCCTTCCTGCACACCGGGGTGATGGATCAGTCTTCCTATACCCCGGGGTGATGGACCAGCCTTTCTACACCCCTGGGTGATGGACCAGCCCTCCTACACCCCGGAGTGATGGATCAGCCTTCCTACACCCCGGGGTGATGGACCAGCCTTCTTATACCCCGGGGTGATGGACCAACCTTCCTGCACCCCGGGGTGATGGACCTTCCTTCTTGCACCACGGGGTGATGGACCAGCCTTCCTGCATCCTGGGGTGATGGACCCGCCTTCCTTCACCCCGGGGTGATGGACCATCCTTCCTGCACCCCGGGGTGATGGACAAGTCTTCCTGCACTCCGGGGTGATGGACCAGCCTTCCTGCACCCTGGGGTGATGAACCAGGATTCCTGCACCCCGGGGTGATGGACCAGCCTTATTGCACTCAGGGGTGATGGACCGACCTTCCTGCATCCCGGGGTGATGGACCCGCCTTCCTTCACCCCGGAGTGATGTACCATCCTTCCTGCATCCCGGGGTTATGGGCCAGTCTTCCTGCACCCCGGGGTGATAGACCAGCCTTCCTGCACCCCTGGGTGATGGACCAGCCGTCCTAAACCCCTGCGGTGATGGGTCAGTCTTCCTACACCCCGGGGTGATGGTCCAGTCTTCTTATACCCCGGGGTGATGGACCAGCCTTTCTGCACAGAGGTATGATAGACCATCCTTCCTGCACCCCGGGGTGATGGACCAGCTTTCCTTCACCCCGGGCTGGACCAGCCTTCCTACACCCCGAGTTGATGGACCAGCCTTCCTACACCCCGAGGTGATGGACCAGCCTTCCTGCATCCTGGGGTGATGGACCCGCCTTCCTTCACCCCGGGGTGATGGACCATCCTTCCTGCACCCCGGGGTGATGGACAAGTCTTCCTGCACTCCGGGGTGATGGACCAGCCTTCCTGCACCCTGGGGTGATGAACCAGGATTCCTGCACCCCGGGGTGATGGACCAGCCTTATTGCACTCAGGGGTGATGGACCGACCTTCGTGCATCCCGGGGTGATGGAT